CCACCGGCAGGGACCAGAGGAAGCGACCCAGGCGCTCAATGTCCCCGCTCTCCTCCAGGGTCTCGCAGACCCCGGCCACTTGCTGGGGGCTGAAATTGAGGATGGGCAGCTGGAACATCGAGGCGGCGGCGGCAGCGTCTCCGCCCTGGGGAGGAAGGGGAGGAAACCCACGCGCGGCGGAAGGACCCCGAGATCCCCCCGCCCCGCACGCCCACCCGGGAATCTGGGGTACTGGGGGGATTTGCTGAGCGCCGCGCGGCTCTGCTCCGCGTGCGCCTTTCCCCAGGCTCGCAGGGGCACTCGGGCGGCGGCGGCGGCAGCTGTGGAAGTGGCAGGGAGGGGAAGGAATTGGGAGCGCTTAGGCTGCTGTTTCCATGGGGGGAGGTGTGCGTGGGGGTGGGGGGATGGAGGAGGATGGAGGGGGGGTGGGGAAGGCGAAGAACAAGCCGCTGTTCAGATGCTGCGGGAGAAGCCTGGTTTGCTATTGGACTGGGCAGATTGGCTCCCCGGTTTCCATGGAGGGGGCTGTCACTCACTGTCAGCCTCTGCCAATCAAGGCGGAAGGCCGCGCGCTGGAGATATTTCAGCACCTCCCAGGACTCGACAGCGCCCAGCGCCCTTTGGAGAAGAGTTTGACTTTCAAAAGGTATTTGCAAAAGCAGGAGGACACGCACCCACCCACCGGCACGGCGAAGAACTCACGCAGGCAGAGACGTGGGGGGATATTGTCTGCAGCTTGCCCCAGCAGCCCGTTGCTCATCAGTCCTCGCGTGCCGAGAGCTAGGAGACCTTTCCCAAATCGCAGCCTGAAACAAACCAGTCCCCCGCCTCCTCCCATCCCCACTGGCACGCGTGGGAAGGCTTTCTTCCGTGGAGAGGGCACCCTAACAAGGCCGCGAAAAGGAAAATAAACGGGGCACTTTGGGGAGCGGACGCTATCGAATTGCACAGGAGACTTGGAGTGAAGCATGCCAATGTCACCACACACACACACACACACACACACACACACACACACACACACACACACACACACAC